TCACAGAGATAAAAGAGCCTCTTAACGAGCTGGTTCAAACACCAAAATACAAATGAGAAACATGTTTAGTAGTACGTTATTTATTTTCTATGATTTTGGTGACAACATTGACAGTACTTCCCAGTATTTAGACAAAAGAGGTAAAAACCCCGGCAGCACCTGTAGTATACAGAAGAACTTTATTAGGGTCAGAGTCATCCAATGACATTCCACGTATATTTGCATATGATATAGCCAATACGATTTTAGATTCAATTAGAACTTGAATGTACAAATTGCGATGATGAACAAAATCAAGCTCAGGTGATGTTAAAAGAAAGGTCTATTAGTTCGGATCAAGCAGTTTGAATGTAGTCCAGAAACTGGACTGATAATAATGTCAGAGGAACTTACGGTTACTGATAACGGCATGTTGAGGTATTTCATCTTACAATGGAGCTGATCACAGCATCAAAGGTCAAACAGAAGCTCATAGTCTGTTGGGTACACCAATGAAAACAGGCGTGGTAGTCTCAAATAGGTTTGGTTCCTCATCCACTGTGAGGAAGGAAGTGAATTGAGATAACTCACTAACATTGGGGATGTATCCGGTAACCTTAACTTCTGCCTGGTACGTACCGCACAGAAAGATTTCAGAACATGTCACTCTCTGCACATACAGGAGGAAAGTATGGGAAATACTATAAGTCCTTAAAAATGTCACCATCAAAAAAACCATCGCAAAATGTACTCAAATTTACTTATTTTCAACTCCAGCCTCACACCTAAAATTCCTGAAGAAGTTTTGAATGTGCGTGCTGCTTGGTGCGTATCCATAACAAGTTTCAATCTCTACAGAGGACCTTACTTTGAGTTTCATTCATGTTATAGAAAAAAAACTCTGACCTCAATCACTGCAGGTATCCCTCAAAAAAGTTCTTTGAAAGCGTGAGGACTGGCCAAAGTGACCTCACAACGATGGTTTCGAATCTAAATTTGTCCCAGCAACCATAGCAAGACATGTGTGCACGCCTGTACATGCCCCCACAGAAGTTGATCTGCAATAAAGCTGCTGTGTTATTTCTCCTGCTACAACAGAACAACATGGACAACAGTAAAAAAAATGCCCTGAGTTAATCAGTCCAATTAGCAAATCACAGTCAGTTGTGTGAAAGCACAAGCAATTGCACTTGTGCACTTGTGTGTCTGTCAATGTGCGTGTGTGTCTTGTTGTGTGTGGTAGTAAAGCTGTCTGCCATAGAGCCTCCAAAAAGCTTGTGTTACCACCTTATAGATATTAACTATATAAGTGTGTCGACCTGGTACATATTCATAAGGGCCATACATATATGTCAATATAAGAAATCTTTCCAATTTCTAATAAGTTTCATATATAACTTTTACACATTTATTTTTATCCTATATGTATATTTATATATCATATATGGAAATTCAATATATGTACATATATTGCTTTTGTTTATGGATAATATTGTGCTTTTTTTCTTCTCCTATGTTTTTTAATGTGTATATTGTTACTGATGAGATTAAGCTTGATGTGGCATGTCCCAGCCTCCACCCACAGCTGCCCAGCTCCATTGTTTCACCACTCGCCTTCAGGGTTTGTGCTGCCTCAGCTGGAACACAGCTGTTGTCTGAGCTGGAGCCATTTTCCATTGACAACAATAACTGTAACTGGAGCTCCACTTTTATCCTGCGTCATTATAGCTTGTCTCATGCTGTTGCTAAGACCTGATTCTTTGCTATTGGAGATAATGCAGGAGCTGAAGGACATGGAGGCAAAGGTACGAAACAGTAGCAGTCTTCAGCTCTTTATCCTTCTATCTGAGTAAGATTGCAGCATTGGAAGTGCTGTAACTGACATATACTGTAAAAACAAAACAAACTGGACATTGTAATCTTACACTGAAAGAGACAGCATTCGTTTAAAACAGCAAAACTGTCAGCAAAACAAAGAAATGAAGAGGCTGTTTTCTTTGTCATGCCAGTTTTCTTTGCGTGCTACCATCCAGGAGCACCCTAGAGGTCAAGTTAATTCACATATAGGGCAAGCACTAATAAAGTTCTTATTACATTTTTCTAATTATTAAATTACTACTAATAGTCCACTGAATGACATTCATTTTTTCATACTGATTAGCCAGTAATTACATGATACTTATGTTAGCAATTCAATGCAAATGTCTTCAATCTGAATATTGGCTGCTGTAAATTAGCTTCAAACTAACTCTGGTAAAATGCATCAAATGGTGACATTATACATTGTCCCTTACAAAGAATAATTCAATAATTAATATTAGTATATGAGAATATTTAGATCTAATTTCTGCTCTTTGATTCATGTTCCTACCAACATTTTACATACAATCTCATAACAAGTTTCTACAATTACATGACCTGTGTGTGAGCAATTTGACTCTGATTAGTTGGGACTGACGTAGTAAGTGGTGATGATTGTCAGGCTCCCAAGAAGTAAGTGGTGGATGCTTCTCTGGAAAAAGGAAGTCAGTGGAAAGACACACTGCTTCACCTGGCAGTGACCGTGTCCTAGCCAGTAGGTGGTGCCACAGTTCCAGGTATGAAGCTGTACTGGTTGGATTAACATTGTCCAACCTCAGCAAGACAAAGTGCTTTTTTCTATTCACGTAAGCAGGAACTAAGAGTCAGCAAACTCTGGTCCACTCAAGTCTACAGAATCTCAGAAGTAATGGTCCTGAGTTTAGGCCTTGTTAGAGATTTGGATGGACAGTTAAGACAGAGGACCTATGTACAGTTATTCTCGTGACTAATCAAAAGAAAAACCTTATGATCATCTCCGTACACATGATTATGACAATCTACACACTTCAAACCAAGTCATGAATTTACTCCAACTAAAACATCTCACCATATTTCTTTATCCAGTCATTCATCATTAAAATTCTCCTGTTGGCTAAATTTATTAAAACAATTCCTGATTATTACATAGCATGTAAAACAGCTTGTGTCCACAACATGATAGGCATTAAAAATATTCATTATGTGATATTACACACATCATAGATTTTCCACAATCTGTGATGTATTTAGAACTATCAAAAGTCTGACTGATATTTACAGTAGGCAATCTTGTACAAAAGTGCTAAATCAATTGTCCGTCTGCCATTTCCTGACCTCTCAACTCATTAGCAAAGCAGGTGATGTTACAGTCTGTTCAGTGCAGGCCAAGGCCCAGTCTTCTCTAACATGGAGGAGACTATGAAAAAGACTAAGGAGCTTTAAAACAGGTTTGTCACATTCTCTTAATGCTGAGCCATTACTTTGGTACAATTCATAAGACAATTAATGACTCTCTTTTAGTGTGATTAAATGTTACTACCTACTTATTACTTTCATTAATTGTTTTATCGGGAAATGTGATTTCATGCAAATCATCTAAACCCTTCTCTGCCTGTTCCCTGGGAAATTAAGACAAATCCCAGAGGAGTAAGAGAAACTGTGCTGGCATCAAATACCAGTCCAGATACATACAGAGCACAGTGCCTGACCAGTGAACAAGGCTTACATCAAAGATGCAGTGTCTGTCTGAGAGGAACCATTTTTTTTATTCAATTACCACAAAACAATGTGAGAATTATTTTATTTGTCATATGGTGCTGGAGGCCTGGAGATAACAGATAACTACCATGGATAAACTGATGACCACTGCATTTTCTCGATAACACTAATAGGATAAACAACAACACAATCATCAATATGGGTGTTTGTTTCAGGTGGTTTGATCATTGCTTGTATGACAGGATATGCAAAACTGATTTTTTTTTCAGATGAACAGTGGATGTAATTTCATTTTCTCCCACTTATTTAAATTTGCAGCGTTAAATCATGTTAAATGTTTTAATTATATTCTGCAACAGTCAGTGTTCATGAAATACCATGAATACAACACATGCTAATCTAGTAAAACCTAACTGAATTAATAATACAAGTGTGTTTTTTTACAACATTTTTTGATAGGGGTGTATCTACAGAGTAAGTGTAACAACATTTGCAAATGTCTTGGCTATAAAGACAAATGAAGACTGGTAACATGCAAATCTTTGCCTAAGAAACATAAGTAGCAAAAGGAATCAACAAGCCTGTGTAAAAAGGACAAAACTGTAAGTTGTAACTGCTAAAAAAAATAGTTTTAGCTGTATATGAACCAGACAATCTTTGTTAATGAAGGTATGGCTTTATTTATATATACATACATGGTAAAATACATGGAGAAAATGTATCCAGTTAAGCTAACCTTACAATGGTTATTTGGTCATTTAGGCTAACGATGTTAGCATAACGTGATGTAGGCTAATTCGAGAAGCATGGGGTTAAATTTTTTAAATGTAATTTCAGTTTACATTATTATTATTAAACAGCATGTTGAAGTGTCAAGTAAGATATGTCAACCATCAACCATGTATTACTGCTTTTCCTCTCCATGCTAAACATGTAGCTAATATATTAACAAGCTAACGTTACTTTTGTAGTCATTTCAGTTAGCTACACAACACTTGCACCTGGCAGTTACTGGGTGTATATTTTCAGTAACAACTAATTACTACATGAGAAACAGTTTATTTTGTGTTAACTTTTTTAATTTAGTGATTCTTCCATTACATTACATTACAACTGTGCTAAGTTGCAACCAGTTCCAGGTTCTGACATTATGCTCAATTTGTGCTACATGTGGTGGTAAATTTTGTGTTTGACAAAATAAGAATCACCCTTGTTTTTATTTGACACAAATATAATCACAAAACAGCATTTGATAATAAGGATTATATAATGCTACTGAATTTTTTTAAATAAAAACACACCTTAAATGTTTAGTAGCCTAGTTCTGTCAAATTAAAGAATAGAGAAATAAAAAAAATAGCCATTCTTCCCATCAGTGCAGACAAAAAGATAAGAGAAAAGTCATGGATCATTACAGAGCTGTAGAAAATAAAAAAAGAGGTATCTGTAAGGGTGACATGATTCTACACATAGTCAAATCTCTGGTTCGACTGCTTTCCACCCACACTCTGAGCCTTGTAGGAATCGTTGTAGGCTGGATGTGGTCTGGTGTCCGACTTGTAGATAGTGTGGTGAGAAGCAGCTTTGTAGGCCATCCCATCGTACCTACAGAATATCAGAAAATAATCCATTTCAAATAAAAAAAAAAGATTAAGAGTCTAATTCTCATATATGGTCATTCCACTACTAATGTGAATATTAACGAAGTCGGAAAGAACATGACTGAAAGAGAAATATAAGGAACTCTGTTTTGCAAGCAGCCTTGAAGCTTTTGTTACTCTGCATTATGAATGCAGGGAAAAAATACAGACACCATCATTTACATTTTGCTGAGTATGTGTCTTTACATTTTAAAGGGACTAAGATCTTTACTACTATTGATGAGGAAAGGAAAAAAATATGTCATGTGTTATATTGTTGTCCAGCTTTGTTAGATTTCTGTCTTTCAGTGCTGTCTTTTTACAGCAGAGAACATACAGTCTACTCTAGTGCAATATTTTGCATGTAGTGTCCACTTACTATACACTTCTATGGGGCCTATTGCTCTATTTAGCGGCTTATTCTTTTTTGTTACTTTACTATACAGGAGAGGAATCTTGTCGTCAGTTCCTGCAGTTCCTACTATCCAGTTAAAGGTCACTAGAAATCAGGGGAAACCTGTTTCAGTGACTAAACATACCGTTGCTTCCCATCTGAAGACATTCCACGGCAGGCCAGACACATCATGACGCCTCCAATGAACAAGATAGCTCCACCGATCCAGCCCACAAAAAGAGCCGGGCCAAAAGTATACCTGTAAGAAGATGATAGTTATGGTAAAAAAAAAAAAGACTGATAGTGCTGTAGGAGTTTAAACATCACAGTATACATTCATCTTAACTGATGTTTACCTTGGAGTCAGAGATCCTGTGAGTCCACCAACATTCGCTCCTCCAAACGTACTGTACCCACCATCGGCGTACGTTGTGAACCGAAAACTCTGCACAATCAGGTTAGCAAAAGCTGACACCCCAGCAATGCCACAGACACCTAAAATTTCACAAAAGAAATCCTATGGAGTTAGTGCAAAATGGTTGAAGTGCAATGACAGAACTAGATATTATGAACAAAGCATTACAACACCTGCAAGAAGAGACATGATCCCGGCCGTCAGAGTCATCGTGGCTTTGATGTTGTCCTCCATGTTGCCCATTTTCAAGCACTTAAGTGCAAAGATGGCGATGAGACAGCCGATGGCTCCAAGAACAATACCGACAATCATCAAGGCTCGGACGGCTTGGAGCAGAGCTGAAAGGCAAAGGTAAAATATTCATAAACTTTCTCATCATATTATCTACTCATCAAATTTGATTTACAACTTACCAATTGATTTACTCAAGTGCTGTACTTTTACTGTCACTTAAACTTTTAATGGAGTATTTTCTTTTTAACGCAACATTAAATGTGAAGTCAGGGGAAAATATTTACTCTGCTATAGACAGCTTAAGTTAATGGTTTCACAAATAAAATATGACTTTGTATTATTTTGTAGATGAAACTAGGAAATAAAGTAGCTAAAATTACATTCACCTCTAACAACTACAATATCAAAATGCTGCTTGCACATGACTGCATCAATATTAATAATCCCTAAATATGATATACTGTACATTCAGTAACAACATGATACGTGGAAAGGTTCCATTATATACACAGTGAATACTTTTACTTTTAATACTTTAAATATATTTTGCTTATAATACTTAGTTTTTTTACTTTTACTTAAGAAACATTTTGAATTCAGGACAGGCTTTTGCTTTGGAGTTGCAAATTATTATCATAGAGAAATGAAATTTCTTGTTTCACATATCGTCAAAACTCAACACTGAGCTCTTAATTTTAAGTTAAACTTGTGAATAAATCCTTACACATGTAAATATGTGGAGGAACAAGGCAAAAGTAAATTAGTTTAGGAAAGTGCTAAAAGGTCTTTAGGTCATTCTTAAATAAACAACTTGCAACTGCTGCTTCAGAATCTCCTAAAATAATGTTTTTCAGCAGTGACAAATACTATTAGTTTGACTGATGAACATGTATATCAAGAATATGCTTTAAAAGAGGCTTAGAGAGCTCAACACTCATGGCATTCACTTTCAATTAGAGTACAAAAGGTGAATTGTAAAAAAAAGAGAACATTGCAATTATGTTTTTTTTCAGCAGCAGTGATATAAAATTCATAACTCAAGGCGGTACATAATATAAAATAGTGACCTAAATGCCATCTTTCCATGGCCAGAGATATTGTACCTGTATTATTCTAGACTTAAGCCTTTAAAACCTTATGTACAATGTGCTCTACACTACATTCAGCTGTTAAGTACAGAGTGTGGAAATGTACTTTACATTGTGTGACACTCTGGTAAAGCTTGTGCTTGCTCAGCTAAGCTTTGGATGTTTCATCAAATTTCCATTTGATTCCCGAGAGACACCATCTTTTCTGCAGTCGATTGCATTTTTATGCAGTGGGGGAAATGGAGAAAATCTGCCCTAAAACCTTCCAAATATTCTTAAGTACCTTCCAAGGTCCTTTGGAAAATGTTCTCCTAATCCAACCTGGTGGAGAAATATTCGATAAACGTCTTTTTTTTCCCCCTGTGAGTGTAATTCTCTTACCTGGCAGTCCTAGTATGGTAAAATAAGGCCTGCACTGTGTTGTACCATATGCTGTCCCTACACATGAGTTCCACAGCCCAGAATAGGTGTAAACATTTGTTACAACTGTAAGAGATCGGTCCTGTAAGCTCCACATGTCCATTGCTGTTGCTGCCGATATTAAAAATTGCCCCAACGCAGACAACATGAATCCTATTAACTGAATCATCGAGACAGCCATTTTAGATGTCCCGCTCAAAACAAAGTTACCGCCAATGTCATGGAGTCGTGAAATGGCAGTGTCGGTGCTGCTGCTTATCATTATGTATGTTTCAACAAGGAACAGGTCTTATCACATGTTTACTTAAAATTTTCATGAGTCTTTGTCCCAGTTTCGGTAAACAGCGGTGATGAGAGTCCCCCCCCCCCCTTCGTAACAGAGGGTGTGGTCTGAGATTTCCTCATTTCTTTCCCATCAATATGAGGAAACACAAAACCCAAAATGTTTGATATATTATTCATCTCCGTCCAATGACTAAGCTCCTTGTTTTATTTACCCCCCCAATAATTAACCTATAATCCAGCATAACACAAACAAGAAACTGCCACTCTTATTCTGGGGTGATTTTCTTCTGTTCAGCCCAACAAACTATCTAAACTTTTTCTCCCCTCACGGCTCTATAAAGTCATTTCTCCGTCTACATGCTGCTTCTGCGTTGCTAATGAAAAAAAAAAACACATCATACCTGGCAGTCCCAGGATGGTGAAATAAGGTCGGCACTCTGTGAAGCCGGAGCTCTGCCGGACACATGACCTCCACAGGCCCGAGTACGAGTACACGGCCGTCACAGGGTTGTCAAAGAGGTCCTCCGTCGCCCACTGGTCCATCCCCGTCGCAGCGATTATTCCCGCCACCCCTAACAAACTCAGGAGGAAGCCCATCACCTGACAGAGAGTGGCTGCCATGGCGCTGTCTTTTCTGTCAAAATCTCAAGAACTGTGGATTCAGAAACTGAGTGCGTCTCCTGAGCGCTGCGGCTGTGTGTTTGAGTATGATATCAGCAGGTGTGAAGTCGAGAAGGACTTCACCAATGACCCTGTTAGTTTGCACACAGTCATGTACACAAGAGGTTGGGTGGAGCGTATCAGTATCAGTTGATTATGATTAATGTTGCTTACTAATTCTGGTTGGTAACATGAACATGATGTGGTACTCCGACTGATCATCATATGGAGTCACTTTAGCCTAACCCCTTTTATTTTTAATTTTACAATTGTGCTCGTCAAAAAGTTCAGAGGGCCGCATCAGACTTCAGCCATCAGCCTGTCCCATAAGAGCGACGAGCTTTCATCTCTGCTACGATCATTATGCAGCTGCTCCGTGTGGACTGTTGGCACATTTATATAAAAATTGATTGATTGACAACGACTGATTGACAGTGGCCTGGCAACATGAGCAAACAAGCCACCGACCGTCATCAGAATTTGATTTAGATATCGCTAAATTCTGATTGGTGCTCAGAAGTACGTGACAGCACAAGTCCTTCCAGCAGTGAGAAGAGGACAGACAGAAATTTCTCAAATCAAGTAACCAAAACTGTTCTGTGTTCATGCAGGACCACAGAGCTCAGAGTAAGAACCTGATTGAGAAAATATGTTTTCAGAGCCTTTTAAAGTGAGATATGACACAAGTCTCCTTTTTACAAACAAAAGCTTGAAGTCATAACCAGTAAGCACACCTTTTGCACACCTCAGTTCTCTCAGGTGTTTTGATGCTACAGCTTTACTGGGTCTGGTATGACTCACAAGAAGCTTGTGGTTCGGCTAATTAGCTAACGTTAGCTAACTTCAGATAGAAACAGTTGCGCAACTGATACAACTACATCTGAGTTCAGTAACTTACTTTAAGGATACTTTCAAATTACAATAATGTAACACTGTGTTTTAGCATTTATCATTATATTTTAATTATCACTTTGAGCCACAGTGGTTGCTGTTTAGAAGAACCTACATTGTCTCATTTTAATGCTCTTTCCAAGTGGCTTTTAACTGTGCAACGTGTTCTGAATTCACGGTCGTGAAGACATTAAGGTTAAAAATGTTCTGCTGCCTATAAAACTACAAAATTATATAAGCAGTAAGTCTATAACATATCAATCTTAACACTGTCATGTTTACAGCATCTCGCTCATATTCTAATGGTGTAAGGCCTGAATATGGTGGCTGGTAGGCGTTAATACTTTGGAGGATACTGGGAGATGTAAATATGTTCTGCTACTTCCTGCTCATAATTGCTGTCTGCCAAAACTGTAACACTCAGGAAACACTCACATTATACTGTGCTGACTCATTCTGTTTACTTTACTCCAGGATAAAAAAAAAATATATACAGAAACAGCCTTACTGTAGTGATAATAAAACGTACTTTATACGTAAACATTACTTTAAAGAGTCGTTGAGTTAGTTTGGGTAGCCTATTCGTTCTGCACAGAACTGTATCTTAACATTTGTAAAAAGTATTTCATTTCAGAGGTTTCACATTTACAGGTTAAATATTGCTCTATGCCTCAGCCGGGCTACGTTAAACGATACTAGATGACACTGTTGTCGGGGTGGGTGCTCCATATCGTTGTGGCACCAGCAGCCAATCAAGAAAAAGTAAATACTGATATGATTGTAATGAACTGAAACCAATTTGGCTGCGGCTGATATGTTGAAGAGAACGTGTGAGACGGAATTGAAACTGGGCTGAAGCTTTGTTCAGTGTGCACAACACAACTTGTACCGGTGAATATGTACATATTATTTTAAACACGCAGTTGTACCTATGCTGAACTCAAGAATCAATGTCAAGTGTCCCGAGCCTCATGTAGTGCACTTCGTTTTTAAACATGTACAATAATAATTATCATTTAACAGTTAATTATGAGAAACCTAATTTTTTTCTTTATCAAACAAAGTTAGACAATGTGTCTGACGGCTGGTGGTAAAAGAAGCATTGCCAGACATAAATTAATTATCTCAGTAGCTAATTATCAAGTAGATTTGAGAATGATATGGGAAAATATATACACTTTAAAATTATTACTAGAATCTCAGCATTCATCCTCAGTGCAAGTACTAAAAAAATAATTACTCATGCTGCTATGAGGAAAATCCACATGAGCTAAAGACAAGTAGCAAATGAGGTTAAATAAATATGTCTAAAGAAAGACTTGGCCCTGCAGGTCGCTCTTTGTGCAGTAAATCACTGATAAAAGTATTGTGAAAGCAGTTCAAATGACCCACCCAAGAAAGCAGGTCCCACACACTCACACAGGAAACCTGATTTGATCACTGTCAGTAAATAACAGAAGCCTGCTGCTACATGCGGCGCTAATGATTTTTGCTGCCTGCTAGGTAAAGCCATTTGCCGCCCAGCAGGTTGAACCTTGAGCAAACAACTTTTTCCAGCATCCGCAGGAGCCACTGTTTACTTATCGTGAGCCGCGCATAGAAATACACATGAAAAGAAAAGCCACTTCACACAAATGTATATGCCAAGTAGCTACAATGATAAGACTTATTTGTTGTAAGGACTTTTGTTTTGCTATGAATCCATCCAAAACCAATCATCCAAAAGTTTTCAATGATACAGAAAATGTATAAAAAGTGATATTTCCTTTGATGGAACAACAAAGCCATAAAAAAACATTTTAGATTTTATTTTATTTTACTTGATAAACATGATGTACAGTGAGGAGCAGGGACAAGCTGATGAAGAACACACTACAGTCAGATAATATGGAATGAGATGATTTAAACAACCATTACAAACTGTAAACACAACTGTGATATATTATTACCTTAGATATCATGTTAGGAAACAATTGCCTTAAAATATGTCAAGCAGACCATGTGGAGTTGTGTTTGTGTCCAGCTGATGAATTTCAGTCCAATATTCACGCTCCTTTTGGCTCTGATTTGACGAAACACGTATGACCCGCAAGGTGAGGGTCACATGATCGACCGGGATAGCCAGGCTGCTAGGAAGCTAATCTACTAGCATGTTTACAGTTGCCTGACATATTGTATTTTATAGACCCACTCTGGTGTTGTTCTAAAGATGCGTTCAGACAGAAAGTGAAGTAAATTTTTGGCTTGCATCCTTAGTGGGAAAAACAATCCAGTGACCACTGCTTCATTTGCCCCAAACAGCCGACATACGTAAACTGTATCGATCATGTAACCCTCACCCTGAAGGTCACAGCAGTCTGTTAAAAGCTTTAGCTGCTAAATTCTCCACTGTGTTCACCAGCTAAGTCACTAACTGAGTCTGCATACTGTTTTGTGCTGGGCAGGTACAGCTGCAGACTATAACATCAACACGCTGAGTGAAAAGATGTTAAACCCCCTGTAGAGCAGAGGGGACCGGCAGAGTCAGGTTATAATTATGTGTGGGTTTGACACTACAGCCGACCACTTTCTGCAGTATACAAGGTCATTTCCCCCATTTTCAATGTAACAACACTGAGCGTCTACAACCATGCTAGCAGCTCTGTGAGGCTAGATGAAAAGGAGGTGAGATGAATGGTCAGGAGATGAATGTGTGTAGCTAATTTCATGGCAATCCATCCACCAAAGTGGTGGACGAAATGACTGATGGAAAGAGCTGCACTGCCCATCCCCTACAGCTGACATGACTAAAAAAAATATTGATTAGAGCAGCTTTACAGCAACTTGAGTGGAAACAAAAGGGGAAAAACTGTATGCAAGTGAGTCCTCCCTGATGTAGTCCCACAAACAGAATGTCACGTTCACTGACTTTGGTAAAGAAAAAAAAAAAAAAAAGAAAGTTTGTGACAGACCTTGAAAAGAAAAATTTCCACACCAGCTTCTATTTTGAACTCCAGTCAAGAGCTCCATTATCACTCAGGCTACAATAAGAAAACACTAGAAAGAGATGTGCTGAAATGATGAAAGGCTGTCTTGGAAAATGGTAGAAAAATGGCCCATTTACTTTCGTCCACCTTTTGGGAGTCTAAATGGATTTTTATTCAGCAATCAGTTCACTGCTGGCTGACTGACACTAGAGGGCAGAGTGAGTGCAGAGAACACGGGCAGCTGTGGCAGCAGGGAGACAAACTTGCTGGGACAAGGAGGCCTTTCAGGTGACAAGGGCTAAGGAGAACGTGCCGTTTCTCTGACGGCATCAGGAACTTCTACAAAATATGAGCAGGTCAGACGGAGGACGATCAGGGTTTCGGTACATATTTCCTTCTATGAATAAGGTTGCATATGCCAGAGAACTGTTTGAATCAACAGCATTTGGTTGAATGAAACAAAAAAAAAAGAAAGAAATAAACTGATTTAATGTGAGCCAGAAGGCAGACTTGAGTGATCTAGTTGTGGTAAATGAGTCACACGAGTTCCCACTCTCACCCACTTCAAACCTCCAAACAATGAACGCTACCTGGGCAGCCAGGGAGACGGACACAGCCCCCCACAAATCTGTTACATTTGAAGAATGAGAGAAAACTTCAAAAATCCCTGAGCAATTAACCAATCACAGTCCAGCAGGACAGTGTGACAGAGTGCACACATCATTGGTCGACAGGCTCGCATCCGTTATGCTTTCAGTGGGGCGAGATCTAAATTAGAGAGCCAATTAACTCTGCTAATAGCCCTCTCCTATTTAATCTGGAAGACAATGGGGATTGAAGAAGAAGCTTTTACAATATCCTCTTTCTGCCACGATTCTGAGGGTCTGCGTTTGCCTCCTTGTTTTCACTTCAATTAGCCCAGTGCTTTCTATGATTAAGTACCTATAATTATTTTTCAATTAAGGCTTTGATCTGGTGTGTACTGTATACAGCTCCTTAGCGTGCCTGGAAGAATGAGGATGAAACAGTGAATTTGTTCCCTTCTGTGTTGTGTTGATGAGGGTGCAAGTGAGATTAAGCTTGCAGAGCTGCTTGGAGAGCTGC